TATATATATATATATATTAGGGTGGTCCTTAAAATGGTCATTTTCGAATTTCCTTGCTCCCAGGGGCTCAAATGGTTCCAAATAGATAAAAAACAATTCTCTGAAAATTTTAGCTCTTAATATTAACGTTTAGATAGAGCGCAATTCAATCAAAGTTTTGTATGGAAATAGCATGGAAAAATTTTCAAAAATTTAAAAAATGTTTTTTAAATGTAATTTAGCGAACAAATGAATGAATAAAACATATTCATTTGTCGCTAAGTTATACCTAAAACATTTTTTTTTTAATTTCCAAAATTTTTTCCATGCTATTTTCATACGAAGTTTGATTGAATTGCGCTCTATCTAAATGTTAATATTAAGAGTTAAAACTTTCAGAGAATTGTTTTTTATCTATTTGGAACCATTTGAGCCCCTGGGAGCAAGGAAATTCGAAAATGACCATTTTAAGGACCACCCTAATATATATATATATATATATATATATATATATATATATGCCAAAATTATTATTTTTTTGTTGTGATAATCATTAAAAACATTTGTTAACGTTCATTAATACATTAATGAAACAAGATTCAGGAAGTCTTCTAGCAATAAGTTAAATATAAAATATTAAAATAAATATAAATATTAAATTAAAAGAGTATTAAAAGAGTGTTTAAAACTAAACAAAAAAGTTTTAGACTTTTTAAGTTATGAATATATCGATTCATAATTTTGAACATTTATTGAAAAAATAAATTATTATCAAAAATTATTTTGCCTCACCTTGTGCATTAAAAATACTCAAACAAGTATCTTGTGGCTTAAGACACACTTCCTTGGCATCATCTTTAGCATTGCAAACCCTGCGATTCCTTGGGAAAACATCAACATTACAAAGGTTACTCGATTTCTCGGTTTTGAAAATAAAAGTAATTTAATTATTAATTGTACAGGCAATACTGCCCGCTAAGGCTGTTGTGGTTCGAGAGAGGTCTCAGTAGATTTAACATCCCGCAAGCCTGTCCAATTTTCGTATTAATATGTTTTGTGAAGCTTATAGACTCAGCTTCACAAAACATATTAATACACCAAGATATTTGACGTCCTTGGACCACTCAACTTCACAGTTAAATACTTTAATTTTGTCCAAGTCAGTCAGTCTAGTCGTGGCATTTCGGCTCTTTGTAAATAGAATTGCCTCCGTCTTTTGCGGATTGATCTTAATTCGCCATTTGTCAGTATATTCAGTTAGCTTGTCTATGTGTGCCTGTATCCCTGTATCTTTGTAGTCAGTACCGTCGATGATCGTAATGATTTGTATATGGCATTGTCGTCAGCAAAACGTCAGTAGCGTTGTGTCGGCGTCAGTGGGTATATCGTGAATGTAGACGTTAAAGAGTGACGGTCCCAGGATCGAGCCCTGCGGTACTCCCGCCGTCACTTGTTTAACCGTCGAAAATCCGTTGTCTACTTGTACAGTAAAGTTGCGGTCTGAGAGGTATGAGTGTAAAGTTCTTGTTATGTACGGTGGAAAGTTGAGTTGGATGAGTTTATAAATAAGTCCGTCCATCCAGATGGTGTCACACGCCTTCTCAAAGTCGAGTAACACCAATTCGGTATTGTTTCGTCTGTTACAATTGAGAACTGTATTTTCTATGAGTTTTGTCAGTGGGTGTAGTTCTTTGAAACCTTATTGTGTGTCAGGTATGATTTTGTTGTGTTGTATGTGTTTGTTCAGTCTTTTGAGTATTACCTTTTCGGCTACGTTACTCATTATGTTGAGGAGGCTGATCGGTCTGTAGTTTTGTAGTATGTCTGGCTGTTTCCTTGGCCCCACTATTGGAAATATGGTGGAGGTTTTCCAAGAAGCAGGAAAATAGCCTTTTGTCATTAGTCTATTTATTATGCGGGTAAGTAAAATGTAGGCGTTCGTCGGTAGTTGTTTAAGTATTATGTTTAAGTATTAACTAGATAATTCGAACACGAACAAACCCAGTTCGATCATGAGAATTTTTAAACTCATCGCATTGCATATGACCAAATGTAGGTCGGGCAGTGGGATTATGTACCACACCTTGTTTTAAAGTGTATCACACAAAAAAAAATTATAAAATTTTATTTTATATTTTACTATATATATATATATATATATATATATATATATATATATATTAATGTAAAAGGAATTCAATAACTTCAGTACTTCAAATATAATTATACATCAACGCGATTTTTCAGTCTGTGACACGATTCCTTCATTTGTTATTATAAACTAAACCATATCGGAATATTTTTTATGCAAGTAATTTAAAAAAAAAAAAAAATGTGTGCATTAAATGGTTAAACTAAGCTTACATACCAGAAACATTAACTAAATCTTGTTAAGTTAATTCATGTGAAAAATTTATTCCTTTTCCATGCCGTTTGCTCATAATATGTATCCTGAACAACAGCTACTCTGTGACAACAGTAGAAGCTTTCTGAAAATGTATGTGAATTAATTATTTTACTTGAATAAAGATATACTATCAACGTACTAAATATAGTATTGCTATTTTAATACTAAATATCACAGATTATTCACTTGTGCTATCTATGGCACTAACCCATATAACATAACTGACTAATTTCAAAACTTCATATATCTATCAAGAATAGAATATTTTGAAATATTAATATTATTGGTTCCATAATAACCAAATACAGATTTTGAAAACAAGTTTAGCAATGTAATCATTTTGATCTATGATCTATTTAATCAATTTTAAACTACTTGTCAATGAATAAGACCTTTAAATCTTTCTAATGTCTACAAAAATTAAAGCATCAATTTAATCGATGAAATTCTGCTAAAAAAAAACTTATATAATACTTATATAATAATATCAATCCCCAAGTTATTAAATGCTTACATTTATCTTTGGGTTGTCCAAATCATCTGAAAGCATTCTGAGCAACAATTGTGTGTCTAAATTTATCACAAACCGTTTATATCACCATTGAGACAATGAATCCAGACAAAACAGCATAATAATAATAATATTATTGTTGATATTAAAACAATGTTGATTTAGTAAGTTTTTTGCATTAAAAAATACAATTTGAATTATGACAAAAATATTATAAAATTGAATTTATATTTTGTGTGCACTTAATAGAAAACATTTTTTTATGAAGATTATTTTTAAAAAACATTCGATTACTACTGATAAGAAAACATGCTGATTAGTTTTTGGCAAAAGCAGGTTCAGCCAATTTTAATTTTTAAGAAAACCGAGCGTACAATTTGAATGATTCAAAAAACATTTTAATTGTATTGACAAAATGAAGAACTTATAAAATTTTTGGAAAGGCAAACAATAATGATCATTACTCATATGAACATCAAATTATCACATACTTTCTAGATATTTTAATAATAGGAACAAATTTTGTTTACTTTTCTATGGGTTCCGTACCAATGATTATTTGTTAACCAGCGCCGCATCGCCCACGCATTTCGATATTTCGTTTCTACATAGTTACAAAGCAGTCGCAAGCTTTGAAAAAAAGTTCAAAACTTCCAAAATATTTCTAAATATGAAAAAGAATCAAATTTTTTTTCCCGAAATTTTAAAAAAATCAAAAATTGTTTTTTTTCAGAGTTCTAAAAAAAATCAAATCTTTTTTAAAAATTTTAATTTTTGGTACGGGGAGTTCTAAACAATTTGCGTTTAAGGCATGATGCCATGCAACACTAGTTCGTATGTTGGTACTGTTTGTTTGTTGTTCCTACGATGCAGTTATAATTATAGGAAATAATTCTAAATAATTTTAAAACGGTAAAAATGAAAGGCACCAAAGAATTTGTAGAAAACTTATCCGGAAGTGATGTTGAGTTTGAAAATCTTGGTGAGAAAGTGATGTTTCAAGGACTTGTCAGAAAAAAATTGCAAGTAGTTTATCACAGCACAGTTGTCTACTTGTTGTCTACTTGTACAGTAAAGTTGCGGTCTGAGAGGTATGAGTGTAAAGTTCTTGTTATGTACGGTGGAAAGTTGAGTTGGATGAGTTTATAAATAAGTCCGTCCATCCAGATGGTGTCACACGCCTTCTCAAAGTCGAGTAACACCAATTCGGTATTGTTTCGTCTGTTACAATTGAGAACTGTATTTTCTATGAGTTTTGTCAGTGGGTGTAGTTCTTTGAAACCTTATTGTGTGTCAGGTATGATTTTGTTGTGTTGTATGTGTTTGTTCAGTCTTTTGAGTATTACCTTTTCGGCTACGTTACTCATTATGTTGAGGAGGCTGATCGGTCTGTAGTTTTGTAGTATGTCTGGCTGTTTCCTTGGCCCCACTATTGGAAATATGGTGGAGGTTTTCCAAGAAGCAGGAAAATAGCCTTTTGTCATTAGTCTATTTATTATGCGGGTAAGTAAAATGTAGGCGTTCGTCGGTAGTTGTTTAAGTATTATGTTTTGTAGTCCGTCCGGTCCTGGTGCTTTCCTGTTCGGTAATTTTTTAACTATTGTCTTTATTTCGGAAATTGTGGCAGGGTCTATTCGTAAGTCTTTGTCCCTGTGGAGGTCAGTGAAGTCTTGAATTGTCTCCTGTACGTCTTGTTTCAGGTCTGCGTTTTACATATTGGCATTTTGTTTATGTATGTTTTCAAAGTTTTTTGCCAACATTTCCTTGTCTGCTGGTGTCGTTGCGTAATTATTGTCAGTTAATTTGAGTGGAGGTATGGATGTTGGTTTCCGCGCCAGTCTTTTTGCTGTTTGCCAAATTTTGTGTGGGTCAGTATTTATGTTCTCGAGTCTTTTGGTCCAAGTGTTGTTTCGGTGGTCACGTATTTCATTGGAAATAATTTTTATCAGTCTGTTCACATGTTCCTTGAGTAGTCTATCACCGGTACGTTGCCACAGTTTCTTCGTATGATTTTTAAGTTTTATTTTCAATAAAATATGTTCTGGCAAGTCGTTGGCTGGTGTTGTTCTTGGGTCTAGTGTCGGTATAGTCTGTTGTACAGCGTCTGTGATTGTCAGTGTAAGGTGTGTTACAGCCTCCTCAATGTCAGTGTTGGTATCGATTGGCATTGTATGGCGTGTATTGTCTGTTATGATGTCTCTGAAAAATGGCAGTTGGCTCTGGAGCAATCTAAAAATTTGCGTTTGGGAGTCTGGCCGACGTCTAGTGTGTCTGAAATAATCATGAAAACTGGATTATGGTCGGAGTTAAAAAGTGTTTTTGTTATGGGTTTGGATGTTACGTGTAGATTTTTTGTCAATGGCAAAATGGATCGTACTGTGATGGTGTGACTACGGTGGCGTATCTGGTCGGCGTGTCAGGATAGTGTAATTGTGCGTCTGCGGTGTTGTCTTCGGTCAGGTATTCGTAAAGTCTGTTTCCGTTTGCATTGTTAAAGTTACAGTTCCAAGATGTATGTTGTGCGTTAAGGTCTCCTGACATAAGTACAAATCTGTCCGAGTCCAGTAGTCTTTGTAAGTCCGTATGTTCTAGTCCGCTCGCCGGGATGTAAATCAGTATTTTTGACCTCTCTTATATACATTGATAGCTGTTATTTCAGAACCGCCCGCTGTCAGGTTTGGCATTTGCTCGTGTCTGATGTTAAACTTGATCCAAATCGCAGTGCCGCCCCATCCGCGTGCGTCCGTCTGTCTGTCGTTTCTTTTTGCATTTGCAGAAAACCTTGGACTTATGGTCTGAAAAATAGGAAAAAAACTTGGAAAAATTTTTAACAGTAATTTAAAACAAAAATTAGAAATATAAAACAAATATTAGGAAAAGATCTAAAAAAATATTCAAAATAATTTTTTTTTAAGTTTTCAAACAAAGCCCAAAAATTTTCGAGAACTTTTTTTTTCCAAAAAGCCTTGGACCATAGTCCAAAAAAATTTTCAAAATTTTCAAAAAAAAAAAAAATAGAAAAAATCCTTAGATCATAGTACGAGAAAATTAAGAAAAATCGAAATTAAAAAATTTGCAAAAAAAATTTGGACAGTAGTGATGACGTTTGTGAACTCGCTCATTATGCGGCAGCCATTAAAATTTTTAAGAATGTAGGTGTTCCAACAAAGATAAACATAAATATTTAAAAGTAAGATGTAGAAAAATATAGATGTAGAAATTATGCAGCAGTAAAAACATTTATTATTTTCATTATTGAAGTGTATTGATATATATATATATATATATATATATATATATAAATTTAATGAAAAATATAATGTTATAAGCATCACATCAATTATATACAGACGTTGCATGGTACTTTATTATTGGATATTTAGCGATATATATAAATTTTATTAAAAAATTCAATTAATTTTAATATTATTTACTCATCCAATTATAAATATGAAATTTAAAAAAAATAATAATATGAGCGGGAATCAAACCTCCGACAAGAGACGCAAAAATTAGAACTCTATCATCTTACCACTCGGCTACGACTCAAGCGACAGAGTACGTTGCAAGCAATGTATAGTGTTTATACCCTATTTATTTAATTTTTTTTTTAAGTTTGACTATTGCCCGAAAAAGATTTCAAATAAAAATTGAAGAGTTTCAAAAAAAAAAAAAAAAATAGGAAATGAGGAAAAACCTTGTCAGAGAAAATTTCCTAAAAAAATCAGAATTAAAATTTTTCATTCCAACAGTTTTCAAACTAAGCCTGAAAAAAATTCGGGGTAAAAATTTAAAAAAAAAACTCAAAAAAAATTTCAAAATTTTTCGAAAAAAATCTTTTTTCAAAATTCTCAACAAAGAAAAAATTCAGAGAAAACCTTGTGCCAGAAAATTTTCAAAAAAAAAAAAAAAATTTTCACAAACAAAAAGTTAGGAAAAAAACCGACACTTAAAAAAAATTTCAAAATTTTCGAAGAAAAAGCTCAAAATTTAAAAAAAAACATCAGAAAAAAACCTAAGAATATTTTTTAAATATGTTTTTTTTTTTCAAAAGTTTTCAAACTGAGCCCGGGAATTTTCGGAAAAAATTTTAGAAAATATCCTTGAACCATGGCCTGAAGAAGATTTGGATTTTAATTATAATTCTGGCTAAAGTTGTAAAGCTCTCTTATATAATTTAAAAATAAATAGTTTTAATTTTGCAATTCAGTTTATATAATTCTTATAAATTTTAGACAAGATTAAAGTATTTATAATAATCTATTTAAAAACATTTAATATTCCTCAAATATTTTGTTACGGTATTGTTACAAGTCCAGCAATTTGCCTTAAGACACTATGCCATACCACATCACTAGTTAAAGATGTAGTTGCGTTACACTTTATAATAAAAAATATTATAGAAATTTCATGAACTTTTTAATAATAAAAAAAATAATAGCACTTTATATAAATTGATTAATAGATATTTACTAATTGAATAGAAAGTCTTTACATAAATTCATAATATTCAAAGTAAATTAAAAATGAACTTAAAAAAGGAAATTAATAACGATACTCAACCACTTAATGCATACGGCCGAGCTTAGTTCGTTCGCGCAAAACTAGATAATTCGAACACGAACAAACCCAGTTCGATCATGAGAATTTTTAAACTCATCGCATTGCATATGACCAAATGTAGGTCGGGCAGTGGGATTATGTACCACACCTTGTTTTAAAGTGTATCACACAAAAAAAAATTATAAAATTTTATTTTATATTTTACTATATATATATATATATATATATATATATATATATATATATTAATGTAAAAGGAATTCAATAACTTCAGTACTTCAAATATAATTATACATCAACGCGATTTTTCAGTCTGTGACACGATTCCTTCATTTGTTATTATAAACTAAACCATATCGGAATATTTTTTATGCAAGTAATTTAAAAAAAAAAAAAAATGTGTGCATTAAATGGTTAAACTAAGCTTACATACCAGAAACATTAACTAAATCTTGTTAAGTTAATTCATGTGAAAAATTTATTCCTTTTCCATGCCGTTTGCTCATAATATGTATCCTGAACAACAGCTACTCTGTGACAACAGTAGAAGCTTTCTGAAAATGTATGTGAATTAATTATTTTACTTGAATAAAGATATACTATCAACGTACTAAATATAGTATTGCTATTTTAATACTAAATATCACAGATTATTCACTTGTGCTATCTATGGCACTAACCCATATAACATAACTGACTAATTTCAAAACTTCATATATCTATCAAGAATAGAATATTTTGAAATATTAATATTATTGGTTCCATAATAACCAAATACAGATTTTGAAAACAAGTTTAGCAATGTAATCATTTTGATCTATGATCTATTTAATCAATTTTAAACTACTTGTCAATGAATAAGACCTTTAAATCTTTCTAATGTCTACAAAAATTAAAGCATCAATTTAATCGATGAAATTCTGCTAAAAAAAAACTTATATAATACTTATATAATAATATCAATCCCCAAGTTATTAAATGCTTACATTTATCTTTGGGTTGTCCAAATCATCTGAAAGCATTCTGAGCAACAATTGTGTGTCTAAATTTATCACAAACCGTTTATATCACCATTGAGACAATGAATCCAGACAAAACAGCATAATAATAATAATATTATTGTTGATATTAAAACAATGTTGATTTAGTAAGTTTTTTGCATTAAAAAATACAATTTGAATTATGACAAAAATATTATAAAATTGAATTTATATTTTGTGTGCACTTAATAGAAAACATTTTTTTATGAAGATTATTTTTAAAAAACATTCGATTACTACTGATAAGAAAACATGCTGATTAGTTTTTGGCAAAAGCAGGTTCAGCCAATTTTAATTTTTAAGAAAACCGAGCGTACAATTTGAATGATTCAAAAAACATTTTAATTGTATTGACAAAATGAAGAACTTATAAAATTTTTGGAAAGGCAAACAATAATGATCATTACTCATATGAACATCAAATTATCACATACTTTCTAGATATTTTAATAATAGGAACAAATTTTGTTTACTTTTCTATGGGTTCCGTACCAATGATTATTTGTTAACCAGCGCCGCATCGCCCACGCATTTCGATATTTCGTTTCTACATAGTTACAAAGCAGTCGCAAGCTTTGAAAAAAAGTTCAAAACTTCCAAAATATTTCTAAATATGAAAAAGAATCAAATTTTTTTTCCCGAAATTTTAAAAAAATCAAAAATTGTTTTTTTTCAGAGTTCTAAAAAAAATCAAATCTTTTTTAAAAATTTTAATTTTTGGTACGGGGAGTTCTAAACAATTTGCGTTTAAGGCATGATGCCATGCAACACTAGTTCGTATGTTGGTACTGTTTGTTTGTTGTTCCTACGATGCAGTTATAATTATAGGAAATAATTCTAAATAATTTTAAAACGGTAAAAATGAAAGGCACCAAAGAATTTGTAGAAAACTTATCCGGAAGTGATGTTGAGTTTGAAAATCTTGGTGAGAAAGTGATGTTTCAAGGACTTGTCAGAAAAAAATTGCAAGTAGTTTATCACAGCACAGTTGTCTACTTGTTGTCTACTTGTACAGTAAAGTTGCGGTCTGAGAGGTATGAGTGTAAAGTTCTTGTTATGTACGGTGGAAAGTTGAGTTGGATGAGTTTATAAATAAGTCCGTCCATCCAGATGGTGTCACACGCCTTCTCAAAGTCGAGTAACACCAATTCGGTATTGTTTCGTCTGTTACAATTGAGAACTGTATTTTCTATGAGTTTTGTCAGTGGGTGTAGTTCTTTGAAACCTTATTGTGTGTCAGGTATGATTTTGTTGTGTTGTATGTGTTTGTTCAGTCTTTTGAGTATTACCTTTTCGGCTACGTTACTCATTATGTTGAGGAGGCTGATCGGTCTGTAGTTTTGTAGTATGTCTGGCTGTTTCCTTGGCCCCACTATTGGAAATATGGTGGAGGTTTTCCAAGAAGCAGGAAAATAGCCTTTTGTCATTAGTCTATTTATTATGCGGGTAAGTAAAATGTAGGCGTTCGTCGGTAGTTGTTTAAGTATTATGTTTTGTAGTCCGTCCGGTCCTGGTGCTTTCCTGTTCGGTAATTTTTTAACTATTGTCTTTATTTCGGAAATTGTGGCAGGGTCTATTCGTAAGTCTTTGTCCCTGTGGAGGTCAGTGAAGTCTTGAATTGTCTCCTGTACGTCTTGTTTCAGGTCTGCGTTTTACATATTGGCATTTTGTTTATGTATGTTTTCAAAGTTTTTTGCCAACATTTCCTTGTCTGCTGGTGTCGTTGCGTAATTATTGTCAGTTAATTTGAGTGGAGGTATGGATGTTGGTTTCCGCGCCAGTCTTTTTGCTGTTTGCCAAATTTGTGTGGGTCAGTATTTATGTTCTCGAGTCTTTTGGTCCAAGTGTTGTTTCGGTGGTCACGTATTTCATTGGAAATAATTTTTATCAGTCTGTTCACATGTTCCTTGAGTAGTCTATCACCGGTACGTTGCCACAGTTTCTTCGTATGATTTTTAAGTTTTATTTTCAATAAAATATGTTCTGGCAAGTCGTTGGCTGGTGTTGTTCTTGGGTCTAGTGTCGGTATAGTCTGTTGTACAGCGTCTGTGATTGTCAGTGTAAGGTGTGTTACAGCCTCCTCAATGTCAGTGTTGGTATCGATTGGCATTGTATGGCGTGTATTGTCTGTTATGATGTCTCTGAAAAATGGCAGTTGGCTCTGGAGCAATCTAAAAATTTGCGTTTGGGAGTCTGGCCGACGTCTAGTGTGTCTGAAATAATCATGAAAACTGGATTATGGTCGGAGTTAAAAAGTGTTTTTGTTATGGGTTTGGATGTTACGTGTAGATTTTTTGTCAATGGCAAAATGGATCGTACTGTGATGGTGTGACTACGGTGGCGTATCTGGTCGGCGTGTCAGGATAGTGTAATTGTGCGTCTGCGGTGTTGTCTTCGGTCAGGTATTCGTAAAGTCTGTTTCCGTTTGCATTGTTAAAGTTACAGTTCCAAGATGTATGTTGTGCGTTAAGGTCTCCTGACATAAGTACAAATCTGTCCGAGTCCAGTAGTCTTTGTAAGTCCGTATGTTCTAGTCCGCTCGCCGGGATGTAAATCAGTATTTTTGACCTCTCTTATATACATTGATAGCTGTTATTTCAGAACCGCCCGCTGTCAGGTTTGGCATTTGCTCGTGTCTGATGTTAAACTTGATCCAAATCGCAGTGCCGCCCCATCCGCGTGCGTCCGTCTGTCTGTCGTTTCTTTTTGCATTTGCAGAAAACCTTGGACTTATGGTCTGAAAAATAGGAAAAAAACTTGGAAAAATTTTTAACAGTAATTTAAAACAAAAATTAGAAATATAAAACAAATATTAGGAAAAGATCTAAAAAAATATTCAAAATAATTTTTTTTTAAGTTTTCAAACAAAGCCCAAAAATTTTCGAGAACTTTTTTTTTCCAAAAAGCCTTGGACCATAGTCCAAAAAAATTTTCAAAATTTTCAAAAAAAAAAAAAATAGAAAAAATCCTTAGATCATAGTACGAGAAAATTAAGAAAAATCGAAATTAAAAAATTTGCAAAAAAAATTTGGACAGTAGTGATGACGTTTGTGAACTCGCTCATTATGCGGCAGCCATTAAAATTTTTAAGAATGTAGGTGTTCCAACAAAGATAAACATAAATATTTAAAAGTAAGATGTAGAAAAATATAGATGTAGAAATTATGCAGCAGTAAAAACATTTATTATTTTCATTATTGAAGTGTATTGATATATATATATATATATATATATATATATATAAATTTAATGAAAAATATAATGTTATAAGCATCACATCAATTATATACAGACGTTGCATGGTACTTTATTATTGGATATTTAGCGATATATATAAATTTTATTAAAAAATTCAATTAATTTTAATATTATTTACTCATCCAATTATAAATATGAAATTTAAAAAAAATAATAATATGAGCGGGAATCAAACCTCCGACAAGAGACGCAAAAATTAGAACTCTATCATCTTACCACTCGGCTACGACTCAAGCGACAGAGTACGTTGCAAGCAATGTATAGTGTTTATACCCTATTTATTTAATTTTTTTTTTAAGTTTGACTATTGCCCGAAAAAGATTTCAAATAAAAATTGAAGAGTTTCAAAAAAAAAAAAAAAAATAGGAAATGAGGAAAAACCTTGTCAGAGAAAATTTCCTAAAAAAATCAGAATTAAAATTTTTCATTCCAACAGTTTTCAAACTAAGCCTGAAAAAAATTCGGGGTAAAAATTTAAAAAAAAAACTCAAAAAAAATTTCAAAATTTTTCGAAAAAAATCTTTTTTCAAAATTCTCAACAAAGAAAAAATTCAGAGAAAACCTTGTGCCAGAAAATTTTCAAAAAAAAAAAAAAAATTTTCAAAAACAAAAAGTTAGGAAAAAAACCGACACTTAAAAAAAATTTCAAAATTTTCGAAGAAAAAGCTCAAAATTTAAAAAAAAACATCAGAAAAAAACCTAAGAATATTTTTAAATATGTTTTTTTTTTCAAAAGTTTTCAAACTGAGCCCGGGAATTTTCGGAAAAAATTTTAGAAAATATCCTTGAACCATGGCCTGAAGAAGATTTGGATTTTAATTATAATTCTGGCTAAAGTTGTAAAGCTCTCTTATATAATTTAAAAATAAATAGTTTTAATTTTGCAATTCAGTTTATATAATTCTTATAAATTTTAGACAAGATTAAAGTATTTATAATAATCTATTTAAAAACATTTAATATTCCTCAAATATTTTGTTACGGTATTGTTACAAGTCCAGCAATTTGCCTTAAGACACTATGCCATACCACATCACTAGTTAAAGATGTAGTTGCGTTACACTTTATAATAAAAAATATTATAGAAATTTCATGAACTTTTTAATAATAAAAAAAATAATAGCACTTTATATAAATTGATTAATAGATATTTACTAATTGAATAGAAAGTCTTTACATAAATTCATAATATTCAAAGTAAATTAAAAATGAACTTAAAAAAGGAAATTAATAACGATACTCAACCACTTAATGCATACGGCCGAGCTTAGTTCGTTCGCGCAAAACTAGATAATTCGAACACGAACAAACCCAGTTCGATCATGAGAATTTTTAAACTCATCGCATTGCATATGACCAAATGTAGGTCGGGCAGTGGGATTATGTACCACACCTTGTTTTAAAGTGTATCACACAAAAAAAAATTATAAAATTTTATTTTATATTTTACTATATATATATATATATATATATATATATATATATATATATATAATGTAAAAGGAATTCAATAACTTCAGTACTTCAAATATAATTATACATCAACGCGATTTTTCAGTCTGTGACACGATTCCTTCATTTGTTATTATAAACTAAACCATATCGGAATATTTTTTATGCAAGTAATTTAAAAAAAAAAAAAAATGTGTGCATTAAATGGTTAAACTAAGCTTACATACCAGAAACATTAACTAAATCTTGTTAAGTTAATTCATGTGAAAAATTTATTCCTTTTCCATGCCGTTTGCTCATAATATGTATCCTGAACAACAGCTACTCTGTGACAACAGTAGAAGCTTTCTGAAAATGTATGTGAATTAATTATTTTACTTGAATAAAGATATACTATCAACGTACTAAATATAGTATTGCTATTTTAATACTAAATATCACAGATTATTCACTTGTGCTATCTATGGCACTAACCCATATAACATAACTGACTAATTTCAAAACTTCATATATCTATCAAGAATAGAATATTTTGAAATATTAATATTATTGGTTCCATAATAACCAAATACAGATTTTGAAAACAAGTTTAGCAATGTAATCATTTTGATCTATGATCTATTTAATCAATTTTAAACTACTTGTCAATGAATAAGACCTTTAAATCTTTCTAATGTCTACAAAAATTAAAGCATCAATTTAATCGATGAAATTCTGCTAAAAAAAAACTTATATAATACTTATATAATAATATCAATCCCCAAGTTATTAAATGCTTACATTTATCTTTGGGTTGTCCAAATCATCTGAAAGCATTCTGAGCAACAATTGTGTGTCTAAATTTATCACAAACCGTTTATATCACCATTGAGACAATGAATCCAGACAAAACAGCATAATAATAATAATATTATTGTTGATATTAAAACAATGTTGATTTAGTAAGTTTTTTGCATTAAAAAATACAATTTGAATTATGACAAAAATATTATAAAATTGAATTTATATTTTGTGTGCACTTAATAGAAAACATTTTTTTATGAAGATTATTTTTAAAAAACATTCGATTACTACTGATAAGAAAACATGCTGATTAGTTTTTGGCAAAAGCAGGTTCAGCCAATTTTAATTTTTAAGAAAACCGAGCGTACAATTTGAATGATTCAAAAAACATTTTAATTGTATTGACAAAATGAAGAACTTATAAAATTTTTGGAAAGGCAAACAATAATGATCATTACTCATATGAACATCAAATTATCACATACTTTCTAGATATTTTAATAATAGGAACAAATTTTGTTTACTTTTCTATGGGTTCCGTACCAATGATTATTTGTTAACCAGCGCCGCATCGCCCACGCATTTCGATATTTCGTTTCTACATAGTTACAAAGCAGTCGCAAGCTTTGAAAAAAAGTTCAAAACTTCCAAAATATTTCTAAATATGAAAAAGAATCAAATTTTTTTTCCCGAAATTTTAAAAAAATCAAAAATTGTTTTTTTTCAGAGTTCTAAAAAAAATCAAATCTTTTTTAAAAATTTTAATTTTTGGTACGGGGAGTTCTAAACAATTTGCGTTTAAGGCATGATGCCATGCAACACTAGTTCGTATGTTGGTACTGTTTGTTTGTTGTTCCTACGATGCAGTTATAATTATAGGAAATAATTCTAAATAATTTTAAAACGGTAAAAATGAAAGGCACCAAAGAATTTGTAGAAAACTTATCCGGAAGTGATGTTGAGTTTGAAAATCTTGGTGAGAAAGTGATGTTTCAAGGACTTGTCAGAAAAAAATTGCAAGTAGTTTATCACAGCACAGAGTGTGAATTTGAAGATAATGAATTTAATACAGATGAATACCTCAAGACACAACACCATTAAAATTACCATTATTATTTAATAAAGTTTTATTGTAGTTATAATGCTTTGAATCCATTGATGATCATCTAATTTCTTTAAAAAATCCTTTACACTTATCAGAAAGTTCATGCAACTTGCCCATGCCTCGCATATTTGTAATGCTATTTGTACCTAGTTAAGTACTTAGGTTTACTTGGTCTTAATTCATTTTCTTTTGTATCACTTACTCTCTAAATGAATTACATTTCCTTTTGGAGAACATATATCTTGTAGATTTAATTTTCACAGTTTATTTGAGAAATTGCAATTGGAAAATCACCAACCTAATGAATAAATGTGTGAAATTAATAAACAATATCAAAATCTGAATTATAATATATATATATATATATATATATATATATATATATATATATATATTTTGAATAGTCTTGAATTTGATGTTGATATATATGTTTAATTTGAGTTTAAAATTCGGGCATAATATCAATAAAAATAGTATGAGTTTTTTTAAAAGTTTATTTATTTAAAATCCGTACGTTTGGGCTAGCCGTCATTCAGTGGTAATCAAATTAAAATTTTGTATCCTAATATAGCATATAAAACCATTATTAATCCAAGGTATGAGTATGTGCACATTGATAAAATATAAATTTTTTAACATCACAAATAGTAAAACACACAAATAAACATGATAACTTAACAAGTTGTCAAAACTATGTGTTTACTCTTCGGAGTTTAAGATAGAAATGTCCATTAGAAGTAGAGGACTTATATGATGGCTGAGATGCTAGCCGAAACACATGGATTTTAAATAATATATTTTAAATATATATATGAATATTAATTATCAATACTTATATTGTAGAATATAATTTCTGTCTTTATGATCATAAATTATTGTATTCATTGGCATTATCATTAGCTAAGAAACAGATAGAAAAGACCATATAAGTTAATAATATAACCCTAAGATATAATTTTTCAATAATGATTTGAATTGTTCGAATAAATTATAAACTTCTTTAAAATAAAAACAATAAAAACTTGTAAACTATCTCAAAAAATATGCAGCCAAATGCTAATACACAAGACTAATATTTTCTCAAGGTTTGCAGACCAAATTTACTAATTAGATCTATTGTTACTTATATCTTTCTCAAGCAAACTTATCAAAAATATTAGTTTTATTGTTAAAACGGTCATTATTTTACCAAAATTTAATCTTTGAAATTTCGTTTGGTTTAGTTAAGTTATTGATTAAACCCTCTAATTTTACTATATGTAGAACCTATGTATTCTACATAGGTACCTTTCTACATATTCTACCTACATATTTTACTATATGTAGAACCTATTCCACAAGAACATATTTAAATAACATTAACACATTTATTTAAAATTAGATATATTTTAAATTCCATACTAAATCTGGGGCGCTTCACAAGTAATGCATGTTTTGTAAGGTCACTATCATGTGTTGACTTGAATGACAATGTAAGAAAACACATATTTCTATTGAAAAAAGTCACACAAACTGAATAAATAAATAAACAACAATTAAATATTTATAACATTTACATTTTAGTCAATAAATAAACTATAATTAGAAAATAAACTAGAACTATTCTGAACATTTTAGCATACCTCAGAAAGAAAATGTGTGTAAGTGTGTTTTGTGTGTCAGCAATTTTTTGTCCATGTTTTCGGGCGCTCGGATCAACCAATTTGAATGGGTCAAAAAACATGCGATTCCTATTGATAGGGAGGTGTGCTGATTAGTTTCTGGCAAAAGCAGAAAATAGAAGTCGAGTTTTTGAGAGAACAGAGTATCCGATTTGAATGATTTAAAAAACATATGTAATGATCGGGAGAAGTAGTGATTAGAATTTGACAAAGGCAGGTCCAGCCATTTCGAAGATACGGAGCAAAAAATGGCAGTTTTTAAGAGAACTAAGCATCTGAATGATTCAAAAAACTTTAGTTATGTTAGTTTTATTTCTTCTTCTAGTCTGATTTTAAAACGTATAATCAAAATAAATATTTCTTTCCATTTTGTTTTATTTATTCCAATATTATATATATATATATATATATATATATATATATATATACATATACATATACATATATATATATATATATATATATATATATATCAACACCAGTTTTTCATTCTTTAATAATATTGTGTTATATTATGTAAAATTCAAGAAAATACACTATAATAATATTTTTTAACTTTGACTCTATATTTTATAGCAATACATATATTTTTAAATCGCCTTTTCACAAAAATATATTTAAATTCGAAAATCATTAAATTTTTGTAAATATCGCTTTCAAAAGGTTTTAATCACAATATGCTTAAAATTGTTTTGTATTGAATTTTTTTTTCAAGTAGCTAATAGTAGTAATATAACAAATTACTTGAAGTTTCGTATTAACTCACATTATACATTTGTTCCAATTAAATATATTTTTTCTGTTTTTTATTCCATTTTTGTTTAATACTTGTTGAATAGTAGTAAAATAACAAATTACCTGAAGTTTTGTATGAACTCCCATATTCACTTGGTTTTTCGAAGTATTCATATTGTTCTTCTTTCCTATCTCCGGACTCTAAATCTTTTTGTTCAGACTTCGAGTAGATTGAAAATTAGGCATGAATATTAAATACAATAGCATTACCTTGAAAGAAACAAATTTGAATAATAAATAACCACTAACGCAATCATAATTACTTTGACAGGAGCAATGCTTAGAAGATAAACATCAATTTTGACAGGCCATAACGAATAACATGCGATGCGAATAACCATGCTCACGCGCAGTGAACAAAGCCCCAATTCATAATTTCAGTGTTACCAATGCTAGTACATAAAACTAAATGAGCGCATCTCAATCTGTGTTTAGAAAACTAGACAACAGAACTTCATAAAGTGTTCTTTGGTGTTCATAAACTAGTGATGCATGGTATCGGTATTATGGATGGTATTATTAATACAATCTTCATAAAATATCTGATAATTTGATGTGCATATATCTAATAATCATTTTTCACCGCCAAATAATGTTTTTTTTAACTTTTTATTAGATCTCCGACCTGGCTTCCCACAAATTTAATCAGTTTTTTTATTTTGTCAATACAAAAAAAATGTTTTTTGAATCATTCAAATTGGACGCTCCCTGTATCTCGAAAACTGAATTACCATATTCAGTGCTTTTTGCCCCGTATCTTTGAAACGGCTAAATCTGCATTTTCCAAAAACTAATCACCACGTCACCTTATCAATAGAAATCGAATATTTTTTTATTCATTCAAATCGGTTGATCCGAAACAATATTGGTATTTTTGTTATAATAAATGTATGATTAGAGAATTTTAATATAAACAATTATTACAAATTACAAAAAAAATTATAATCAACATATATGTGATTGAAATAATCTAAGATCCTACAAAGATAACAAAAGTTTCCAATTATAATATTTAGCATTTATTAAAAAAAAGAATTTGTAATATTGAAAAATAAGAATTTACCTTTCCGTGGGGTAAGTTATAGTAATCGCAAAAAAAATCAAAAATGAAAACGTTTATATATCTTCAAAGCCTTTTGAATATTTTGGTATACCTTAGAAAAAATAAATGTATGTGTGTGTATGTATGTGCGGATACAATTTTTCTTCGACGATTTCGAGAACACTGATCAACCGATTTTAATGATTCAAAAAACATTTCAATCCTACTGATAAGGAGACGTGCTGATTAGTGTTTGGCAAAGGTGAGTCCAGCCGTTTCGACGTTAGACTGCGACACGGCGCTTACGCGTCATGATATTTTTCCTATGGGTTGTTTGCTACTTGTGTTTTTTATCAATATTGTAGAATACAAAATTCTCTACAAATTTTGTTTGAAAAAATTTTTCATACGGTGAACTGTTTTCGAGATAGAGGGCGGAGAGCGCGCGGTCAGAGCATCACTTCGGTCAACCGGTGCCTCCGGTCAAAAATGCCCCATATATAGTTGATGAACTATCGATAGATCAATGATTTATGAACATTTTTTTCTAATCTATCCACTTTTTATTTAGTATTAATTTATTTAACAACACTTACCTGCCCATGTAATTGCAGAATTGTTAATGAAAGGAATAGGAATTATATTTGAATTTAAACCTAATTAATATTAATAACTTCGTACATGATAAAAAAAACAAATAAATTATGAATTTATCTTTATATTAAAAAATATCATTCAATACATTTATTTTTATTAAAAGTAAAAAAATGGAATAAAGGGTGCAAATCTATAATTTTAATCATCTTCTGAGATTAACTTTTCTATAGCTATTAGTTACCAAGTTTCTCCAAATTAGACATGATTATCCAAATAACACCTCAAATAAAATAATAATCTCAAAAGTAACGAATGCAATTTGAGCAAAAACTTAGAAAAAATGTATTTACCCATCATTTCTACGTTCATATCAAAACAAATTCATCTCTCATTCTTGTAAACCGGTACGCATATGGAATTTTGCACAGGTACAACTGAAATTACAAGCTCAAAGAAGTTTGAAATTTAAGCAACTGACATAATCTAAACAAATTCTACCACTTAAATATGTAATATAAATAAACCTTAGTAAGAAAAAAAATCAAAATCATAATACCAACATAAAATACTTACAACTGAGTCGAAAATACTAGTAAAAAAAGCTTATTTTCACATTATATGTACTTTAGAAAGTCAAATAGTTCTATTTAATACCAGTTGTTGCAATTTATAAGTATCGTTATATAAAGTTCATTAAACGTTTTGTTTTAATTATTAATTATATTTCTGTATTATTTAAATCTTTTTTGAATGCTGATTAATAAATAAATAGGCATTAATTCAGTTACATGTCTTGTATTACTTCTAATATTTCAATGTGTTTTATTAGTCTGGTTGAAGACAAATCTGTAGTATGAGAGCATCACCATTTAAACCTCTGCTTTCATGCATCCTGGTCCTGTGTTTCCGTAAGTCATCAACCATCTGTATTCTTTTTTTCCCATGCTTTTAGTCCTATTTTATCTTCGATGACGTCATACAGAAGCCACTCTTTTTACGGGAAGGATCCGATCCAGTTTCCTTTCTTTTTAATGATCGTACTCAGTAGAGTTCTTTCTTTGCCTACTTTCTCACGACTTCTTCATTTGACATATAATGTAATCTGTCTACATAATCTTTTCTATTCATCTCGAGCATCATATTAAAATTTGCAAATTACATAAAAATTCTAGTTACCCAACCTCATTACAAATCCCGCGCTAGGTTTTTCTCGCCTTCAGTCAGGACCCTTTCAAATCTTTAAATCCGATGCTGGACTTAGAGGAGATTCCTTCGGATCGGACCTTCGACATAATTTGGATCTCTCACCGTAATGTAGAAGGTTTTATATATGTTTTGGTCATACGTTATTAATTTCGAAGGGTTGCAGTACCTTTACTTGTACATACTAGTACAATGCAGAACGATCACACATTCGATATTGAAGAATGTTAAAGTAAAAATAAGACACTTGAAAATTATAAATCAATCAGGATATTCAATGTAAAAGCTACTTCAAACAGTACTGCTTCAGCAAATATTGCATTGCAAATTTAGGAGCTACTGTGCTTTATAAGCTTCATACAACTTCTTCCATATGTGTCATCGCACATTATTTGAAGATTTATTTTATTATTACCATTTATTTAAATACGTTCGACATTACATAATTTACTACAATTATATAACTATCTTTTTTGTATATTAATAAAAAATCTAAAACTTGTGATCTTGTTATACATACATATTGATTAAATCTCTATATATACTAAGATAATTTGACATCTCAAATCTTATTTTTTGTTCCAATTTTTTTGCACTATTTCAACCGTAACTCTGAAACAACTGATCTGTCTGTTCAAAAATATAATTATAGTCCCTTCACATTGAAAATATGAAGAAATAACATTTAAGAAATGATAAAATCCATATTGAAATATATTCGAATGCATTATTGCATGAAACGCATTCATTTCTAAGACCTTTCTTTTTTAAAGGAAACCCAAGCACATTAAACGCAAAGAAACCGTCGGAATCAAGAAATCACGGTCCTTCTGCGGTCGAATGGTCGAATCCGCACGCATTTCACACGTGCTCCAGGCGCTTTATGATGATCTTGGGAACACAAGAAATGTTATGTGACGCACAATACGGTTTCTTATTAATACACGACAACCCAAGCTATATAGAAACTACCACTGTCACATATAAACCTGACCCGCATGTCAACCGTAAACATCGAACGATGGCCTTCCTTTGCCTTTCGGGTCAGAAGAAAACGTTGAATAAAAATTGGATTGTTTGCATCGATTCGTTGAATAATCTCAGTACCATATACACCATTTTGTTTGATAATAGACGATAATTTTGTTTCAATACTTTCGACAAAATTCTGCTTAAATTCAATTGACATTAACCATTACAGTACTAACTAACGATCTATATTTTTTATGTATCATATTACAACAGCAATCAAAACTTTATGCCTTATAACTTCTCGGTTTATCCATTCATATTTGATTTCTTTATTATTAGAATTTATCTAATAGGGCTGACTTATTATTTAATTAGGTGCGGCAATCCCCGGGAAGGGCTATTTCCGCTTGGAAACATATTTAAGATTTATATTCCCAAATGAAAATTGATATCGCTACTGCTCGATATCAGGGTTATTCGTGAAAACCTACGCGCTAACCCCTATGCCACGAAGGCTCCTAAACGTTGATATATGGAAGTTGCAAATTTTTAACTTTATTTAATTATGGTTAGAGTTATGGACTTCAATCCAGTTCGGTTAGAGCTATGGTTCCAGGTTCGATACCCGCTTAGAACAACCTGATGTCAAGCCGCAGTTACATCGGTTTTCAGTTGAAAATGTAGTTGGCCATATGCTTAGTATGGTAAGTGTAAATTGTATTTACTCGGCATTGCTGCATCAATTGAAATTTTTTTCAGTAGTACAGAAATTGTGACATCACATAGAGATATATAACTAAAAAATACTACACATTTCTGATATCGCCAAAAAAGTCAAGTAAATGTAATAATTAACAGAAAATTTTTAGGAATAAAAACGTAAAATACTAAGTAAATACTAGGAGCTATTTTTCACAATACTGATGCTGAACAAATACACATTGCAAAACAAAATCAGTGTCATTCATCGACGCATGAAAACTGCATATTTCCTCAATGCTGCCGGAACTCAATAGCGACTATGAATTATTAAAATGGTTTTCAGAAAATTCTGTATAGAATAGAAGTGGAAGCAAATCTGATTTAAAAAAAAAGAAATATTACATGTATCGGATATCGCTGCATTCATATGAAACATCGTAACAGTTTGAGTTTACAGTTTATGCAGTTTTGAATTCGATATTATACTTCTTCAGAGAATGATATCAAGTTATTAAGTTTACGCATAGTAATTCTAACAAAATCTGAACAACTTTCAAATGTACCTTAGACACATAAAAAAATATATAATATTTATATAAAAAATACACTTTCATAATAAAGAAACGATTTTTAAAATTTAAGAGAAATATTTGAAAAAAGTTGTTGAATTTAAAAAAAAAACTTTTGAGAAAATATTGAAAAAACTGAAAGTGAACTGAATCTTTATGTCATTGCCAAATGATGACGAATTCTTCATATGTTATATTTTTTAATATTTGAAAAATCCTCATACACTAGTTGGTAAG